TTACTGTCCCTTTCTTAAGGTACCATCATGCTTTACTGTAGATGAGTGACAACTCCATATATGGGGTGACATTTAATGGTATTGGCTCCTCCTTACATTCTCATTTCCACTCCTTGTTATTTCTGAAAAATACTTGCAAGTGGAGGGTTTTTGAAAATTTTTAATGTATTTTTCTTTAAACAGGATCCTTTTATAACAAATATCTATGATTTACTCAGGATTTTGATGGTTAAAATTTCTGATTGTTCTTTGCGAATTCTGTTAATCATACTGCCTCTTGTATGATAGTTTCCACAACGGTAATTAATTTTGTTTTAACTTTTTATTTATGTTTTAGGTTTGTGGATAACAATTTTCCAACTCAGTACATTTTAAAACAGTGAGGGTTTAATTCAAATAGGAATCAGTCATATGTCAGTTGCTAATAAATTACTTGCATTTTTGTCTGTATTAATATTACCTATACATTCTTTGCTCATGATTTACTTTGTTTTTCTTGGTTAGTGTGCTCAGTGGTTGTTTTCTCCTGACTCTGATGTGTGGGAAATATTCCAGGTTTATGTCAGTGAGATGTGGGGCCAAAGTGAGTGGGGACCTGCAGGTAGGCGGTGAAGGTTAAAGGTGTCCTGTCTAGGAGTCACTCAGGGCTGGGGTCTTTCTGGCCCAGGGCAGTCCCTGTGGCTTGAGCGGGTAGTTCCAGTTCCTCTCAGAGGGCTTTGTCCACAGGGTTTCCCTCCTGAGTCAGGAGACAAGCTGGAAGGAACCCAGTGAGAAAGTTTGAAGTCAACATGGAGGCAGCCAAAGTGCTCTTTCTGGCCTTCAACTGTGTCACCCACAAGTGGCAGAACTGGGTCTGTCTGGGGCCACTGGAGACAGGTGCTCTTGAACCCTTGGGTCCTGCTTACAAACTAATTACCACACTCTATCTAATGAACATATCCTTCACCTCCCAGAATTAATACATGTATACGTTTGTGTGTTGTGACTATAGCATAACATAATCTCTCCTAGCAAATTGTGGTTATTTTGTTTAATTAAGACAATTTTTAAATAGTTTTTATTTCTGAGAGAGAGAGACAGAGTGAGAGCAGGGGAGGGGCAGGGACAGAGGGAGACACAGAATCTGAATCAGCCTCTGGTCTCTGAGCTGTCAGCACAGAGCCAGGCACAGGGACTCAAAAGCACAGACTGCGAGGTCATGGTTTGAGCTGAAGTCGCATGCCCAATCCACTGACCCACCCAGACACCTTACCCCTAGCAAATCCCACGTGTACAAGACACTAGTCTTAACTCTACCCACCAGGCTATAACATTTAGTGCCTACCCATCCTGCATCAGTAAACCTTTTACCATTTGATCCAATGTCTGAACATTTCCCTGTCCGTAGCCCCTGGCAACAATCATGCTAATCTTTATATATAGTTTTATCTGTTTTAGGTTCCACATATATGTGATTTTGATGAGGGGGCTTGAGGCAGGCTGACGGGCTAAGCACAAGGTAGCACACCCCCTCCCCAGGTGAGACGTGTAGGCTATTCCTTCGACACCCCAGGCTACCCCAAACCACGAAGGGACAAACAAACAAACGTTTAAACTGATATGAGTGTCCACCACTTCCCAGAAAAAGGCAATCCCTTCCTAGTTTAAAGTCCAGGAACTCCCTACTGTCTCAATGTCAACGCTTTGCTGCAGGGACACACAACCTGACCTTGACAACAGCTAGGTCTCCAGTGAGTCTGTAGCATGTGAAAGTCTCTTTGGAAATTCCCTCTTGGCTTCATCTTCCTGGACTCAATGAAAGGGTCAACCCCCCCCCCCCCGCCCCACTACCTCAGTGCACCTCTTCCTGCGCATCGGTCCTGTCTCCCTGCTTTCATAAACTCACCTTTTTGCACGAAAGACACTCTCAAGATATCTTTCTTGGTCATCGGCTCCGGACCCCACAGACTCTCCATCACCCCAAATGTTGTCGATCATACAGTACATGTTTGTCTCTTTGTGGCTCATTTAACTTAACAAAATATCCTCTAAGATTCTTCTGTTGGTGCAAAGCAAAAGATTTCCTTCTTTTCTGAGGCTTTTAGACAAAGAATGAATCAGATGAGAGATCTCTATTGGGAAAAGAGGTAATACCAAAGGGGAACTTGTAAAAAAGAGTTGCCTGCCGGGCATGGCAAATATCTGTTTGCCCAACATTTACTCTTTCCTTTTTCCTGTGAATGTACTTCCCCCTCTTTGAAATTCTAATTCTCTACCCCTTCTCCTTGAGTCCCAGTGGCACGTAAGGATCATTTGCCTGACTCTGACCCTCATCTCGTTGATGTTCCTATAATTAAGCCTTTTTTTTCACTTATGATTCTGTCTTATAATAGTTCAATTATTAGACCAGCCAAAGAACTGAGAACAGATGAAGCAAAGTTTTCCTCTCCTACGGTTTCATTCCGTCTTTGAGAACTGACCTTGGTGCTTCAGATCCATCCAGAGGAAGGGGCTAGGGGTTTGTAGGGAAATAAGGATCCACCTGGTTTGGACAGGAGTCCTTTGTACTGGCAGCCTTGTTCATTGGGTGTCCTGGGTGGTACTGATTTCCTCATTAAAAAAAAAAAAAAAAAGTGAAGAGGACTGACTGAGTGGCTCAGTCTGTTCAGCGTCCCACATCTGCTCAGGTCATCACATCACAGTTCATGTGTTCCTGCCTTGCACTGGGCTCGCTGCCGTCTGCTTGGAGCCTGCTTGGGACCCTCTGTCCCCTCTCCCTGCTCTTCCCCTGCTCTCAGATCCTCTCTGGGTCTCTCGTGTCTGTGTCAGCAATAAATACACTTTAAAAAAAACTATTTAAAAAGGTTAAAATGGCAGGAGGCAGTTGCCCCAAATAGAAAACCAAGGTTACTTCATTTACTCTCAACCCACGCTATGTTTAAATGCAGTCGTTTTGATTTTTGTTCAACCTTACACTTTTAAACGATTTCAATTTCAGGCACCAGGACAACCTGTAGTAAGATCACTTCGTATTATATTATGAAAAACATCAATATTTACTAGAATCGCAACAAAACGAAACACACAGAAAAACAAAAAAGTACCCCAAAAAACACAGGGCAACACCAAATTTCACTGAAAACCTTGAGCCATTCATATGGAATTTTCATATAATGGCGATGGGAGTATAAAAAAGTACATTCTAGGGAAGCTTGGGTGGCTCCGTTGGTTGGGCCCCCGACTTTGGCTCAGGTCATGATGTTGCAGTGGAGGAGTTGGAGCCCCTGTCAGGCTCTGTGCTCACAGCTCAGCTGAACCTGCTTCACCTTCTGTGTCTCCGTTTCTCACTGCGCCTCCCTTGTGCATGCTCTCTCTTCCTCTCTCTTTCTGTCTCTTTGTCAGAAATAAACATTAATTTTTTTTAAAGTACACTCTATTTGGAAAGTTATTTGGCTGTGACCTAGGAAAATAAACTTTCTTACTGAAAAGCAGCAGTTTGTCACCTCAAATTGTGTCTCTTTGCATAAGGATTATTTTGATCTGACAAAGGAAAAGCTCTGAAACCCAGGACATTTCATTTGTAAGAGACATTTGCATGTACAAGGGAAAGTTCCGTTTGGAAGGGTGGCTCCCTCTGTGCAGCAGAAAGAGGGAGAATGTGTAAATCTCCAGAAACTCTGATCAGTGGAGACAGCATGGATTTTCATCTGAGCAACGACCCAAGCCTTGGTTCCTGTGCTTTGCCTGGTCACCTCCCCAAATGCTTCCCAGCAGGATCGCCTGTGGAGTTTCAAGAAGGTTCCTTACTGCTGCCCTCCCCCTCAGCTTCCCTGAGGTGGGTGGGTGGAAACAACAGTGTTGTTTTAGTGAGGTGCTCCCCGGGAGTCTGCTGCAGGATTTTTTTCCCCCTCAACATCCTGAAATGGACACAAAATGAGCAACAGGCAAAAGTCGATTAGAGTATGAGAGAGGGAGGTTGTAGGAAAGCCCTCCGTACAGAGAGGGGGCATTGGAGGGTGAGAACCTGAGACAATAGGCAAGAATCTTTGTGTTATGAAGGTCAGGTGTCTCCCACCCTCGTTCTCTTCCCCCTTGTTGCTCTTCAAGTGTTACACTTACTGCCTTCATGACTGTAGCTGCTGGGTTCTCCACCGCTGATTGTCTCATTTCCATTGTAAGAGGGGTGGTCTAAGGCCATACAGTTCCTTGTGGGTCTTAGGTTTTATGGTCTACTACTAATTTTTAGTTAGGCCTTTAGTCAAATTCCTGAGGGGAACCTGAGGGGCAGTAGGTGGTGACTGTCACATTCTTGAGTGAAACCTTACACCTGAGGGGGTTTTGCTGGGATCAGACACTCCCAGCATTGTTCCAAAATGTGTTTTTCCTCCACCCAGAGACCTCAGGTCCTAATCTTTCCCTTTCTGCCTACTGAATCCTATCGTTTTGTATCTTAATTCTAAGTGAGTCCCAGGGTTAGGCAGGAAGGTTTCCCATTACTTTATGAGAGTTGAGAGGTGTCGGGGTGGCTCATTCGGTTAAGCATCTGACTCTGGCGCAGGTCATGATCTCATGGTTTCTGGGTTTGAGCCCCACATTGGGCTCTGTGCTGATAGCTAGCTCAAGGCTTGCAGTCTGTTTCAGATTCTGTCCCTCTTCCTCTCTCTCTCTCAGACCTTCCCCTGATCACGTGTCTCTCTCAGAAATAAGTAAAACATTAAAAAAATCATAAAAGAATTCATTATTGTAAAATGTTTTTTAAAAATTATGAGAGTTGAGTGCAGGCTTTTCCTCAAGGAGAGGTAACAGGTCTCCTGTACAGGACTTGGGGAGGGTCAGGTCCAAGGAGCACACGTTTTCTAGGCTCAAGCAGAATTTGTGGGTCTCTGCGGGAAGGGAGGTCCCCTGAAAGCAGAGAAGGTAAAATCAGGGATAGGTCTCCAAGCAGGAGCTCACAGTTTTTGAATAGCTCCTGACACAAAGGACTAGGAAGTTGGGCCTTCTCTGCATTTCAAATTCCTGCCTGCAGGCAAGCAGCTTACTGGGGAAGAGGCTGTGTTGGTGGCTTCACAGACATTTTCTCCTACTTCAGCTGGGATTTCCCCCAAAGATCTTCTGAGAAGGAAACTTAGACCCGAAGGTGAAAGAAGAAATGGCTAGTTCGCAGGTAAGCCTTGTGGGCCTGGCTGGAGGCCCTGTTGTTTTTTTCTGGGGAAATTCCATGCACGTAGGAATCGCGGGGCACCTGAGTGACTCAGCCAGTTGAGCATTAGACTTTTAATTTGAGTTCAGGCGATGATCATGGGGACCTGTGTTCCAGGCTTGAGTCGGGGTTAAGATTCTCCCTCCCTTCGTCTGTCCCTCTCCCTCAGTTTGCATTCTCTTTCTCCTTCCCTCTCCTTGTCTCTCTGTTTCCCTCCTCCTCCCCGCTGTGTCTCCCTCCCTCCCTCCCTCCATCTCCTTCTCTCTGTCTCCTCTCTCTCTCTAAAAGTGTGGTCGTGTCTCCTCACTGAGGAAAGAAAACACTAAGACAACCTGGCTGTATGAGTACCTGACAACATCCCTCTTGACCTCTTAATAAGAGACACTTGCTGAGACTACACGTTTGTACGTTACCATATATGGGAGAGAAAGAAGTCAAAAATTATAAAAACTATGCCACGTGGTGTTCACGGCTCAGTTCGTTGGGTAGGAGCCCAACTGAGTGGTGCTGGCTGGTATAAAATATTTTGTTGTGGAAAATTGGTCTGGATCGTTGGTGGAAGAACCAAGGGACACTCGGAGATCTTGGAAGGGAGGGTGTTTATTTTACACCGGGGGCTCAGAGGAGATCATTCTCCAGAGGTCTGAGCCCCAAGCTTCAGCGGAGGGAGGAATTTACAGCCTGTAACTTCCGCATTCCTCGCTTCTGCTTGAGACAAGCAGTGTGGGAAGAAGAGCCCAGAGGAGGGAGCCTTTGATCAGGGACAGGTATTTCCTTATCAGTCCTGCCTGCCATCTTATAAGAGATTTTTCCCTATCAGTTTCCTGCAAAGAAAAGCCTTGGTGTGAGAATCCTGCTACAAAAGAAATTAAAAAAAAAAAAAGCCAGTGATTTTGTTTTTAGTTCTGTTGGTTCTGTTTTATGTTTTCACCTAATTTTTACCTTCTCAGAAATGATACTCATGATAGGTGGTTAGAACACTCCTCCCCTGTGTCCCAGAGACTCGTCTCCCTTCTCGCCACCCTGCCTTCTAGCAGGGCATCAACACTTGTCACTTTCAGTTAAAGTCCTGCAAGTGTAGAAAATAGTCCCTTTGAGACAGATCTGGGCGTGGGGTGGTGAGTGCAAGTTTCCTGTTGCTGACGGGGTCTGGTCCTGGGATAGCAGTCAAGGAAACAGTTCCCATTTAGGTCTGATCTCAATGCTCTCTCTGCTCTGGGTACAGTAGGTACGAAAATGCACAAATACATAAGTTGGAAAGAAAGACAATAACCTGCTCATGAGGATGTGGAAAAGATACTTCAAAATATTCTGATATCACAAGACATGGAAAGTATACGTGTTTGAAGTCTGTAAAAATGCACTGTATCCTCAAGGTTGTTTCTCTTCTGACTTGCTGTTTGGGGGTCATAAGAACGCACCTGTGGTCCTGTGTCCTGGGGTGTGCCTCAGGCACTGAGATCGCTTTGATTCCTTACAGCTGACGTTACCTTCTTTTACTTGGCTTTGTGCTGCCAGATTTCTCCCCTATAAAATGCATGTTTTCCTTCTTATCAGTTGAAATGATTTTAGGCAGATCCCCTGAGCGAGTTCCAGACACCATCATATTTAAAATGGAAATTTCTTTCTTCCAGTTTCTCATTCCGTGTGTGTGTGTGTGTGTGTGTTTACTAATTAGAGAGAGACAGAGAAAGCGGGAGCAGTGAAGTTGTAGAGAGAGTGCATGAAACCCAAGCAGGCTCCACAGAGTCAGTGCAGAACCTCATTCGGGGTAGAACTCACAAAACCATGAGACTCTCACCTGAGATGAAATCAAGAGTCAGATGCTTAACTCACTGAGCACCCAGGCAGCCCTTCCTTGCAGTTTCTGATGAGGAGAACAAAGGCAAAAGAAATGTAGATATCATTAAATTTTTGTACAACTTGCAACCCTGTGAGAAATACCTGAGACTGGCAGAGGAAGATATTCATCAAGATATTTACAACTGCTTTATTGTTAATGCTTTTCTAGAGGGAAAAAAGCAAGCTTAGCTGGACAATAGCCAGACTTCCAGGATCCAGAGAGTGTATTTTACCTATGGCAATCCCTTTGGAAACTTACATTTCTACTTCTCAACTTAAAGTATATAATCACTGGCTCCTCACCATCACATTGCAGCTCATTCTTTCCACATATCCTGTCCCTGTGCTTTAATAAGATCAGCGTCGTTCACCAAAAAAGTCTCAGGAATACTCTCTTGAGCCTTTATTTATGTCTGCCCCACATCATATCAGTTTCCATTGGGCAGTGAAGGCCTTCATCTTGTGTAGTTCACTGCATAGTCACGACACAGACATACTATTCTATGCACTTCTTTCTGTTTTCAGAAAGAGAAGGATCACATAATTCACATGTTTGAGCATGTGAAAATCCCAAAGTACCATAGGGCACAAATGATGATCGAAACAAGAGCTTTCAATGAGGGGAGCCTGGGTGAATCAGTCGATTAAGTCTCCAATCTTGATTTTGGTGCAGATCATGATCTCGAGGTTCATGAGATAGAGCCCCATTTCTGGCGGCATGCTGAGTACAGGAGCCCTTTTTGGATTCTCTCTCTCCCCTCTGCACGTTTATCCTTTCTTAAAATAAATAAACACCAAATTTTTTGAAATGTTTATTCATTTCTGAGAGACAGCGTGACAGAGAAAGGTCAGAGAGAAAGGTCAGAGATCCTGCAAATGCAGTATCCAGGGGCCCCTGAGTGCCTCAGTCACAGCCTGGAGCCTACTTGAGATTATTTTTCTACCTCTCTCTGCCTCTCTCCCTTTTACAACATACTTGCCAATGCTCTCTCTTACAATATAAATATTGAAAAAAAGAAGAAGCAGCAGCAGCAGAATGCAGGAAGCAGTCATTATTTGATGCTTACGAAAACTGTGCAGGCTCTAGGTAAGGCTTCTGTGGTGACGGTGAATATATTTCAATTTGTATCCCTCATTATAGTAGACTCTGAAATAAAAACTGTTATTTTCATATCATTTATGTGTTTGTGTTGATAGTGTAAGGAAAAGACCTAAGCAACTTTCTCTACAGCTAGATTGAGGAGTTTCATTACATCTAAATGTTTTATGTTTGTTTGGTTTTTAATTTTATTTTTGAGACAGAGGAGAGGGCAGAGAAAGAGAAGGAGAGAGAGTATCCCAAACAGGCTCTACACCTTCATCCCAGAGCCTGAGGTGGGGCTTGAACTGAAAAACCTTGAGATCATGACCTGTCCTGAAATCAAAAGTTGGACGCCTAACTGGCTAAACCACCCAGGCACGGCTCATTAAAACTGTTTCTTACACACCCTGATAATTTTCTGTTCTATCACTTTTAATGGTATATAACTACTTTCAAAACATATGTGTGTGTCCATGGAATGTATACAAGTAGATCAGTATTTGTGTGCATAGCTTCTTCGATCCATTATTCTTCTCAGGATTGATGCCTGCTATGAACATTGACTTAAGGTCCCTTCTGTATACTGACCTGTGTGTCATTTTTGATCCACTCTAGGTCAGTTAACCTGAGTTAAAACTTGATCTATACCATGTACGGGTGCTTGACAAAATATTCACTAAAATAGAATAATGTGTTTCTTCCTAGATTGTTATTATATATTTTCCGTGAATTTATGAGAAACTGTTAAATGTTATCTACTAACGAAGAAGTGGTTGGAAAGGCCTGTTGTCACCTTTCTCAGTATTCTAGTAGAACCTATAATTTTTTTAAATGTTTTATTTATTTCTGAGAGATAGCAGACAAGGCGAGCAGGGGAGGGTCAGACAGAGAAGGAGATACAGAACCTGAAACAGGCGCCAGGCTTGAGCTAGCTGTCAGCACAGAGCCCGACGCCGGGCTTGAACACACAAACCGTGAAATCAAGACCTGACCCGAAGTCGGATGCTTAACCGACTGAGCCATCCTGGCGCCCCTAGTAGGACCTGTAATTTCTATGAAACCCATTCAGTTCCAAGTCCTCCAAGAGTTCCTGTGTTTGAGTTCTACTTCTTCGTATTGAAATGTGTATCCCTTGGCGCATAGACTAATGCCTTGTTAGAAATGCAGACACCTCCCCCATCCAAGATCTCCCGAAGAGTATCTGCATTTAACTGGATCTCCAATGCACTATTGTGAATTCTAATTCATACTAGAACATGCTAAGTACATTTGTAACCCACCAAAACTTTCCCTTAAGAAACAGACACCACATGTACTAAACGATGTAATACAGCATTCAGAAATGTGTATGCATGGGGTGGCTGGGTGGCTCAGTCAGGTGAGCTTCCGACTTCATCTCAGGTCATGATCTCACAGTTTGTAGGTTCGAGCCCCATGTTGGGCTCTGGGCTAACAGCTCAGAGCCTGGAGATTGCTTTGGATTCTGTGTCTCCCTCTATCTCTGCTCCTCCCCCACTCATGCTCTCTCTCTGTCTCTCAAAAATAATATATAAAGTTCAAAAATTTTTAAATGTGTGTACCTGTGTTGATGCCTTCATTTTACAAAATCTCCTGAATAAACACAATATTTATAACGGTTCATACCTCAAAGTTAAAGAATATAGTACGGCATAATATTGTGTTACAAATTTTCTTACCGCAGAAAGCAAGAAACTCCTCTAACCGAGAACCAGTTCTCCTAATATAACTGAGCAGACAAGAGTTTAGTCCTTGGTGAATCAGAAAAAACTATACCGGGTGGGGATGTCAGTCAAAGGATAATTGATATTCGGGAAATAAGGAGATGACAGGGAAAAACTTCGAAAGCAGAAACTCAGGAGGAAGGGGCAATCATTTGCTTTTTTTTTTTTTTTAAGTTTATTTATTTAGATACAGAGAGAGCAGAGGAGGAGCAGAGAAAGAGGGAGAAAGACAACCTCAGGCAGGCTCTGCACTGAGCCCAATGCGGGGTTCAAACTCACGAACTGTAAGATCATGACCTGAGCTGAAACCAAGAGTCGGGGGCTTAACTGTCTGAGCCACCCAGGTGCTCCGGAATGGTTTCCTTTTACTTAGGATTAGGGTGAATATTTAGAAAGGGGAGGCTGAGGATAAGTTGCACATGAACCTTAAGAACACAGTTCTATACATTCTCTGTACCTTACACAGTAAATGACATTTGTGCTCCTCCATGGGTGGAGATTTTAGTATTATAATTAGGTAAAAGGGTGGTTCAGTCCCTTGAGTTTCTGCCTCTTGATTTTTGGCTCAAGTCAGGATCTCACAGTCTTAATATTAAGCCCCAAGTCAAGATCCTTGCTGATGATGGAACTTGGCTGGATTTCTTATCTCTTCCCCACCCATACTTGTGCTCTCTCTTTGAGGAAAGAAACATTTCAGAAATACATAATGGAGAAAAAGGTAACTGTCCTCATTGCATGCTTTACCCTAAAGTATATCTGCATAGATGGGAGTCAGGGGTTAAGCTCAGATTGAGCCCATTCAAGGTCTCCCTCAGGGCAGTCATTACCTTTTGTTGGATACTTTCTGTTTCCACCACAGGACACTGTGCCCATAGGCTGTTTTGCCTGAAGTAGGAGAGAGGTGTACTTAAGAATAGTAAGTAACATGAGGGACTAAGGTCAGTGAGCCCAGGCAGGTAAGCAGTTAAGGTTCTGTCGTGGGGTTCAGCTGGTAACATTAACTTTCTCTCATAGGTACCATAGGTACCATTATGACCTCCTCATGTGTCCACTTGGTAACTGTGGTGTTTGTTGCAGGGACTGCTGACCTTCAGGGATGTGGCCATAGAATTCTCTCAGGAGGAGTGGGGACGCCTGAGCCACAGTCAGCGGGATCTGTACAGGGACGTGATGTTAGAGAACTATGGACACCTCCTCTTCTTGGGTGAGGATAACTCCCTCCAGTTTTCCCAATCCACACTCAAGGTTTTATTCCTTGTTTGATGACTGTCTCTAGGAAGCTTCCTCTTTGCATGACTGGGATTCAAATCCGTACAGTAAGAGAAAGATGTAGGGGTTTGTAGATGTAGAGAAAAATCTTCACGATGTTTCCTTTCAGGTGAGTTTTCCCTTCCTGAGAGTAACATCATTTCTTAGATTAATGGCAGTTCTAATTGGCCTTTCTCAAATGGCAATTCAGTTGAGTGGCATAAAATGGTACTTCCTTCTTCAATACTAATTTCTACTGATTATGGTAGTGGTAATATTCGGAAGTGGAGATCAGGGTGTGAACCTTGGAAATCCCTCCTGTGTGTTCCAAAGAGCCTATTGGGTAACAGGATTTGGGAATGATTTTCCAGAATTCTAGAATGTCCTCTCTTCTCTACTGAGACCAATAGTGAGTTAAAAGGTAGAATCTGCAGCAATACTCTATCCCTTTGTTCTCACAAACAGGTTTTGTTGTGTCAAAGCCGGACCTGGTCATCTTTTTGGAACAAAAGAGGGAGCAATCGGATGTGAAGAGAAAGGAGACAGTAGGCTCCTACCCAGGTAGGTGGGAATGAAGGAAGCAGATGACAGAGGGGAGGTCGCAATGTGAAGGAGGAAGACAGACCTTAACATGTGGTTTGGGCAGCCCTTCTTGAATAGAAATTAGTTTGAGAAACCTAGTTTCATGTCTCTCCCTCTCACAGCGGACATCTGCTTTCCAACACCTCACGCTCTTATATTCTTTATGGATTGTCCTTCAGTTCCATTGAAGATCCTTCACAGCCACAGTGAGGGCCTCCCTTGTCTCATTGGTTCTCCATTGCTTTGTGGGTTTGGGGAAATCTCTGTATTTCTGAGGAAGTCTATGTTAATTCATTTCTGAGTGTTTGCCTTGTGTGAGAAGTGTGTCAAGGTAGTGGTAGGTATATTGGGGTTTGGTACAGAAATCCCGGGAACACTGGGGACTGATATCACATGTTATCTGGTTTATGCTTTCCAATATTATGGAGGCTTTCATCTTAATCATACAAAATTGAGACCCACTAATTTCATCAGATAATAAAGCACCTCCCTAAAATGATAAAATCTCAACTTTTATTTACTTCAGAAGTTCAGGTTTTAGGACGCCTGGCTGGATCAGTTTCTGAAGTTTCTGACTTCAGCTTAAGTCATGATCTCACAGTTCCTGAATTTGAGTCCCACAGAGGCCTCTGTGATGACAGTGCCGAGCAAGCTTGGAATTCTTTCTGCCTCTCTCTCTGCTCCTCCCCTACTTAGCCTTTATCTCCTTCTCAAAATAAATACAAATAAACTTTAAAAACTAAGAGAAGATCATTTGGTGTATTATTAACTAAAATAAGATATTTACACTGTGTGTGTTCCATTCCTCACTGGCGAAGTAATTTAAAGCACCTATGATTTTGCCTGCATTCCTACATTAATTAATACCATAGGGGCGATAGAACATTGAGAATATAAAACTCGCAGCCCATAATAAAGTCTGAGTTGTTACATCATTTCTTAATACTTGAATCATTTTATAATTTTGTCATGTATACCATGAAGTTGATATGACTTTCATATATGTTTTCACTTTCTGAGTAGTTGTATATGAGATGACATTATGATTTATATCATTAAAATTTTTTTAAATTTTTTAATGTCTATTTTTGAGAGAGAAAGAGAGTGAGTTAGAGTGAGCAGGAGAGGGCAGAGACAGAGGGAGACACAGAATCTGAGGCATGCTCCAGACTCTTAGCTATCTACACAGAGCCTTACATGGTGCTCAAACACACAAATTGTGAGATCATGACCAGAGTCTGTTTGATGCTCAACTGACTGAGCCACCCAGGTGTCCCTAGATAAGTAGTTCTGAAATGACACGGGCATGTGCTTTATAACAAACGAGGGTGATGGTTAGTAAAATTCCTATATGTAGAAAAAAACTTCAATTGTAAATGAAATTTTACTTCAGAATAAATGAATCATTAGTTTTTCCACTTTTCTCAAAATGTATCTGAATTTAATCCCAGAGATTTTTTTTAATAGAGTGCTTGCTATTTACAATACTGACAGTGCTTGTATACTGAGAAATGAAAGATTTTGGGCGCACATGTGTGGCTTAGAGGGTTGAACATCTGACTCTTGAATTCAGTTCAGGCATGATCTCATGGTCTGTGAGTTGTAACCTGCATCCTGCTCTTCACTGACAGCATGGAGCCTGCTTGGGATTTTCTTCCCCTCTCTCTGCCTCTCCTATTTTTTCTTTCTCTCTCTGTCTCCCTCTATGTTGCCCTGTCTCTGTCACAATACACTTTAAAAAAAACTTAAAGGAAACGTTTTGTTTGCTTGATTCCAAAGAATAGATTACAGTCTTAAAATTTATGTAAATAGAATGATCTATTAACATAATACACTTTTAATGTCTTTTCACTGCTTCATTCGTAAGAGTTTTCATTAGAGGTTTCCATGGTTGGTTTTTTTTTTTTTTTTTCTTTTTCTTTTCTTTATTTTATTATTATTTATTTATTTATTTATTTTTACAAATAGTTTATTGTCAAATTAGTTTCCACATAACACCCAGTGCTCATCCCCACAAGTGCCCTTCTCCATGCCCATCCCCCCTCCTAGGTTTTTTTTTCTTGATGTTTATTTATTTTTGAGGGAAACAGAGTGTGAGTGGGGGAAGGGCAGAGAGAGAGACACACACACAGAATCCAAAGCAGGCTCCTGCCTCTGAGCTGTCAGCACAGAGCCTGTCACCGGGCTCAAACTGACGAACCGGTGAGATCATGACCTGAGCTGAAGTTGGCAACTTAACTGACTGAGCCACCCAGGTGCCCCTCCATGGTTTGTTTTAATGAGTATACTTTACAACTTTACTGTCATGCCAATAATTCGAAATGTACCATTTCTTTTTTGTGTATACAGTCACAGTTTAATATTATAGCTACATAGGGGCTTCAGGGTGGCTCACTTGTTTAATAGTCTGGCTCTTGATTTAGGCTTAGGTCATGGTTTCACAGTTTGTGAGTTCAAACCCTGTGTCCAGCTCTGTGCCAACAGTACATATAATGGTTTGTTATACCTTTAAGGTATTTTAAGTAATCTCTAAGGAAACCACAATGAAAATATGGACACAATATATTCACCAAAAAATAGATAATAAAATTAATTCTATTCTTATGGCAACACACATAGAGATGAAACAACATTCACTGACCACTAACCCAGGAAAGAAATAACACAAGATGATTCGCAAAGTATGCAAGGGTAATATTTCTAGAGACAAATACTAAGATAATTGTATTGGCAGAGGGCATAAAGGTGATTCATATTTGAGTTACACTCACATTGTCCAAAAATGTAATGAGCTAAAAATTGTCACCGTATAAGAAAATACACAGGTAAAAACTAAACCACACCTAAAGCTGAAGTTGAAAAATAATGTAGTGGAGAAATCCATACAAAAGGAACCACAGTATTATCGAATTGCAAAATCGAAATAAGACAAACTATAACCCCAAAACTCTACATAAAAAGGTGAATTATGTAAAGGAATGTTACTATACATTTATTTTTTCTTTTGGGAGAGAGAGGCCACCAGGAGAGCAGGAAGAGAGAGGGAAGGATGGAGAGAGAGTATCCAAAGCATGTTCTGCACTGTCACTACACAGCCCAATGCAGGGCTCAAAGTCCTAAAATGTGAGATGATGACCTGAGGTGAAATCAACAGTCAGACTCAACCAACTAAAACACCACCCAGGAGGGGCACCTGGGTGGCTCAGTCGGTTGAGCATCCGACTTCGGCTCAGGTCATGATCTCATGATTAGCGGGTTCGATCCTCACGTTGGGCTCTGTGCTGACAACTAGCTCAGAGCTTGGAGCCTGTTTGGGATTCTGTATCTCCCTCTCTCTCTGACCCTCCCCTGATCACACTGTCTCTCTCTCTCAGAAATAAAAAAAAAAATTTTTTAAAATAAACACCACCCAGTAGTCTCTGTGTATCTATTATTATAAATTGTTTCCTTCTTAAAAATACTTGATGTTTATTTATTTGTTTTTGAGAAGGATAGACAGAGTCTGAACATGGGAGGGGCAGAGAGAGAGGGAGACACAGAATCTGAAGCAGGCTCCAGGCTCCGAGCTGTCAGCACAAAGTCTCACACAGAGCTCCAACTCACTACCCCAAAATCATGGCCTAAACTGAAGCTGGACACTGAACGTACTGAGCCACCTAGGTCCCCTGTAGCTATACTACTAAACTCTGAGTGTGCATCCAGGAAAAAACTGAACATTTTGAATTAGTGGCATGTATTCATGGATAGTAAAATTGTAAAGTATATTCATTAGTATACACCATGGAAAGCTCTAATGAAAATCTTAATGTATTAAGCACTTAAAAGACAGTGTAACACAGAATTTAAGGCTATAACCCATTTTTTATAATGAAACAAGTAAGAAACTTTCATTTCTTTTAAGGTTCCCTCCCCCCATGTATTTCGAGAGATGGAGAGTTAGAGAGTGGAGGAGGAGCAAAGAGAGGAGAGAATTCCAAGGAGGTTCCACACTGTCAGTGCCAAACAGGATGTGGGGTGGAACTCCTTAAAGATAAGATGATGACCTGAACTGAAACCAAGAGTCAGATGCTCAACCCTCTGAGCCACCCAGGCACCCAAAAACCTCTTATTTCTAAATAAATAAGTGCTACCAAAGTTGTAAAAAATGGCAACAATAATGTTATATAATAATAGTTGGAATTAAATACAGATACAATCTGAGTGATGTAGAAAACCTAATGATTCATTTTTCCTAAAGTTAAAGTTCTCTGATTTCAGTTCGTGTGCCAGAAATTTTAATTGTATTCATCTGACAGTACTATGTGGAATGATGTTTCTTTTCATTACCTTTCAGCTGTGTCTTCAAATGGCCCTCAGAGCCTCCTTCCAAAGATGTGCATACAAACTTCTTTCCAGAGAGTGTCAGTGGGTAGGTGTAAAGATAGCGTCATTGAGAATGGACTCTTAGTGATAGACGGGAACAGTGTTGGGGAGAGACAAGGGCGCCAAAGATCTTCTGAAGCACCTATGCAAATGGAGACAACTGCCCATTATAAGAGTCTCAGTGCCCCAATCGGTGAAGGGTCTAAAGCATTTTGGGGAACGCCCATTTCTAAGTCCATTACTTCTGCAAAGCAGTGTGTTTCTATAGGCAAAGGCTCAAATCAAGTGGTGAAACACACATATTTGCAGAACAAAAATTTGGAAAATATGGGAAGTGACGTCCATCCTGAAAACGCACATTTGTACCATTTTGACAATAAGGTTTCATTGACCTTTCAGTCAAATATTTCTGAAAATCAGAGATTTAAAACTGTAGGAAAAAGTGTTAACTGGCATCCATTTGAAGGGTCCTTCACTGAGCAATCGACCTTAAACCATAACCACAGCATTTTCAATGAAAACAGAATTACTCATTGCAGTGAATCTGAGACAATACTTAACCAGGGTTCAAATGTTATGAAACATCGAAGGACACGTTTGTCTGAGAAGCATTATGAATCGAATAAATGTAGAGAAGTGTTTCATGAAAGCTCCAACCTTCTTATACATAAGAGTATACAGTTGGGAGAAAATCCTTCACAATATAATGATTGTGGGAAAATTCCTAACCAGTCCTCTGATGATCATGATCATCAGAGGACTGATGTGGGAAAAAACCCATCTGCATGCAGTGAACTTGAGAACATGCTTAGTCAGTCATCAAGGCTAAAGATAAATAAGACAATGCATACCGGACAGAAAGAATACATTTGCAAGGAATGTGGCAGAGCCTTCACCTGGCACTCAACACAATTTCAACATCAGCGAGTGCATACTGGAGACAAAGCTTACAAATGTGAAGAATGTAGTAAAACTTTTAGTTATGGCTCATCAGTAAGTGAACATAAACTAATCAGTACTGGCAAGAAACCTTACCAATGTAAAGAATGTGGCAAGGCCTTTAACTGGCCCTCAGCACTTAATGGACATCACCGAATCCATACTGGAGAGAAACCTTACCAGTGTAAAGAATGTGGCAAGACCTTTAACTGGCGCTCAGTTCTTAATCGACATCACAGAATCCATACTGGAGAGAAACCTTACCAATGTCAAGAATGTGGCAAGGCCTTTAAGAACCACTCAGCTCTTAATCGACATCACAGAATCCATACTGGAGAGAAACCTTACCAATGTAAAGACTGTGGCAAGGCATTTAACTGCCCCTCAGTTCTTAAACGACATCACAGAATCCATACTGGAGAGAAACCTTACCAATGTAAAGAATGTGGCAAGGCCTTTAAAAACCACTCAGCTCTTAATCGACATCACGTAATCCATACTGGAGAGAAACCTTACCAATGTAAAGAATGTGGCAAGGCCTTTAACCGGCCCTCCATCCTTATTCAACATCAGCGAATCCATACTGGAGAGAAACCTTACCAGTGTAAAGAATGTGGCAAGGCCTTTATCTGGCGCTCGCTTCTTAATCAGCATCACAGAATCCATACTGGAGAGAAACCTTACCAATGTAAAGAATGTGGCAAGGCCTTTAAGAACCTCTCAGCTCTTAATCAACATCACAGAATCCATACTGGAGAGAAACCTTACCAATGTGGAGAATGTGGAAAGGCCTTTAACCAGAACTCAAATCTTACTGAACATTCCAAAATTCATACTGGAGAGAAACCTTACCAATGTACAGAATGTGGCAAGGCCTTTACCCACCGCTCAAACCTGAATGAACATCACAAAATTCATACTGGACAGAAGCCTTACCAATGTAAAATTTGTGGAAAAGCCTTTTCCCACTCGTCAAACTTTACTGAACATCGCAAAATCCATACTGGTGAGAAACCTTACCTATGTAAAGAATGTGGCAAGGCATTTACACATCGCTCATCCCTTATTCAACATAACAGAATCCATAACAGAGGGAAACCTTACCAGTGTAAAGAATGTGGCAAGGCCTTTACCCACAACGCAAACCTTACCAAACATCACAAAATCCATACAGGAGAGAAACCTCACCAATGTAAAGAATGTGGCAAGGCCTTTAAAAACCACTCAGCTCTGAGTCAACATCACAGAATCCATACTGGTGAGAAACCTTACAAGTGTAAAGAATGTGGCAAGGCCTTTAACTGGCCCTCAGCCCTTAATCAACATAACAGAATCCATACTGGAGAGAAACCTTACCAATGTAAAGTATGTGGCAAGGCCTTTTCCCACTATTCAAACTTTAGTGAACATCACAAAATCCATACTGGAGAGAAACCTTATCGATGTAAAGAATGTGGCAAGGCCTTTACCCACCACTCAAAACTTACCCGACATCACAGATTCCATACTGGAGAGAAACCTTACCAATGTAGAGAATGTGGAAAGACCTTTACCCAGCACTCAAATCTATCTGCACATCAGAAAATTCATACTGGAGAGAAACCCTACCAATGTAAGGAATGTGACAAGGCTTTTACCTACCGCTCATACCTTATTCAACATCACAGAATCCATACTGGGGAGAAGCCTCACCAATGTAAACAATGCGGCAAGGCCTTTACCCAACAATCAAGCCTTAGTCGACATCAGGGAATTCATACCTGATGGAAACCAATGTAAAGAATGTACTAAGGTCTTTCATCAGTCTTTAATCTTTACTCATTATTGCAGAATCCATACTGGAGCAAATCTTCCAAACTTAAGGAATGTGCAAAATGTTTGTGGACAGCTCACCCCTTACTTCACATTGGAAAATGTATCCTGGAGAATAACCACGGAATACTAAAGAATGTGGCAAGGCTTTGAAGCAATGCTACACCCTGACTCCTGATCAGAGAGGAAACACTGGGGAGGATTTTGCAAATATAAAGAATTTGGGAAGCCTGTTCATTAGAGGTGAAGCTTCAGTGTGCATTTTAGAGTTCTGCTGGAGAACTCTTAATCTATAAGGAATGTGGTAAAACTTCCATGACTCCTTAACCTTACTCTGCATCACAGACATTTTACTTAGGAGAAACATAACAAAAGTAAAGAATGTGTCTGGCCATTTGCTGTAACTCACAACTTCCTCAATATCATAGCTGTCTTACAGGATAGAACTCACATGTAGAGAAAGTTGCAGGGCTTATGAATGGAATTTGATCCTTAATCAATATCCTAAAGTACACACGAGATGTAAATCCTATAGACATAATGAATGAGGAACAGCCTTCATATTAAATATACACTTTAGCAAGCACCAGACACTTCTTCATAAAAGAAGGTACCTTGAAAGATTTAAATCTTTAGAAGGATATTTAACGGAACATCAAATGTCAATAAATGTCACAATTCACAATGAAAAGTAGTACATCGGTCTCTACTCAGACACACATCAAAATACTAATGATAAGGAATAATACAATGTTAAACAGCGTATATGCCATTATGCCTCAAAAGATTAAATGGATCAATTTTTGCATAGGCATGTTAATTTCAGTCTGTGCTGTTTTTTCTCACCTCAACCCTATGTGACATTTGTGACTAGTAAACATTAATATATTTCTACTCTCGAATTCCTTCCAAAATTCATTAAATCCCAGTGGGTTTTGAAAATTATGTGGTTGATTGTTGATGCATGAAAGATATGACATGCCCTTCTTCATTAGGTGTGACTCATGTAGGTTTTCATGGAGGATGGACAACATAATATATAATTTATAAAGAAAATCTTCATGGAGATGCTGTTTTTGGTGAAATGATTGGTGTAAGTTCTAATGTAACAGGTGTTCAGAACATCATTCTTTCCCTTGTATTAAAACTAACAATTTTGGGATGTCTGGGTGGTTCAGTCAGTTGAGTGTCCGACTTTAGCTCTGGTTATATTCTCATGGTTCATGTGTTTGAGCTCCATGTCGGGCTCATTGCTGACAGCTCAGATTCGGGAGTCTGCTTCAGATTCTATGTCTCCCTCTCCCTCTCTCTCTGTCCCTCCCCTGCTCATGTACTGTCTCTCTCTCTGAAATAAACAATAATAATAAAACTCTTGTTTTATTCAACAACTCTTGTTGAATATTATAAATAAAATAAATTCCCAAATGGTCTATAAGAAAAAAAGAGGTGGCAGGGTAGTGAAACACTGGTATATCTTCACCATGGCAATAGAGAATGTCAGTTAATTTGGTTGAAATGATGGAATGCTCAGAGAGATTAGAAACAGCATCACAAACTCTTCCACAGCATGTCATACGATTATACACATTTTACAGGAATGACCTCAGGCCTGAAAATTATGGACGTCTGTATTCCCATATCATCTTATTAAATATTTGTGAAGGCTTTTTTTCTAGATTTTGAACAATGGTAATAGACCGGACTTGAAATGCATGACTTTGTCTATATGTGAACTTAAACCATGTAATTAATAAAACATAATTGATTTTAATGTGTTTACCTGGATATGTAGAGTGGAGTGTCATCTGACCACCAATTTTTACCTATCTCATGTCATTCAATACTGTAGGAACGGAATGGAAAGTAAGATAATGTGAAGATCTCTTTCCAGTGCAGGGTGGGAACCGGAAGTAGCTCCCTTTCATAACTCCAAAGTCACAGGCAGCTCTTCGTGGCATCATCTGATGAATAAAAGTCATAGAGATAAGGAATTGGCAAACGTGGTGGGATTCTGAGGATGAGGGAAGTGCCATTTTATCTACATGATTTAATTGATTTTCTGTGTGTTACTGCGGACCAGATGCTCTAAGATGACCATGATTCCTGTGATGCCCAGGTCTTGATCAGTGGCACTTATGGAGGAGGCCATATTGGATGATGTAATCATTGTGGGCATTGCTGTAAAATGTCACACGTTACAGTAGATATTGGAGATGACTCTCGAAGGGCCTGGACACAGTGGGATAAGTTCAGAGACAGGGACCCGATGAGATTTATTAGAAACACTTATTATTTGACCTGTTTTCGTTTTCTGAAGCAGGGGCTATATAGAAAATCTACAAAGCCACTTAGGAAGCAGGGAGTTTTTAAAGGGGAGTCAGGGAACTCCTGAACATTGACATGCAGAGGAACCAGTGGTACAGTGCTGAATCATTCTCCATATGACCTCAAGACTTGCTGGCAACAGAAAAGGCCACTTTTCTACCATGGTCAAACTTGAAATTCTAGGAACATTGGGTTCCTTGTTTCCCCAGCATCAATGGCCTGTTGAAATCTCAAAGAAGCAGCAATTAGTCAAGCCATAAGCTAGAGAGTGTAGGTCAGTGTGTTAGATGCATGTCCCCATGACAGTGTTTTCAACAGGTATAGTCTGAGAAAGTCTGTATTTGGAAAGTAACATAGATACATCATTAAGGCAGTGTTTATGAAGCTTTTACTCTACACACACACAGCTTTTACTCACAAGGTGCTGTGCTGGGTACCTCAGGAACGTGTATGTGAGTTAACTTTCTCATACTTTAGGACTTGAAAATGGGTGTCCAGTATTTCCCCCAGAATATAGGTGTTGTGCCCTGCGCTTCTGTGTCTTTTTCTCCCATAACGTTGATTGTATAAAAGACGAGCCAAGTACGGTTTGGAAGAATATGTGAAAGCATCAACTGGAACCTCAGAGGAAGTTCTCATTGTTGACAAAGAAGTAAACTTGCGTGTGACAAACAAGAGACATTCAAATTTAATAGTATACGTATGGAGACTCTACAAACAGGGAAATTGCAAAGAAAGGAAAAGTAATGTATACATGTCTTTGAAGAAGAGAGAAGAAAGGAAGGAAGAAGGGAGGAGGGAAGAACAGAAGTCTGGGGCCTCCAAGGGAAAGAATGTAATTCACAGGAAGATGAAAAGTATTTGATAAGCAAATATTTTCTGGGCTGCTCTAAAACAGTAGGACATAGAAAACTGTGTTCACATGGTCCTTCCTGGGTTCCTCCCTGTTGACCATATGTAGCTTGTATCATAATGTAGTTCGTGTGGTGAGTTCTGTCTTCCTCGGCAGCTTTCCTATGTATATTACTTTTACATAGGTGAAAACTAAACATTTTTCCTTTATCTGCTTAATTTTGATTGCTTCTTAACTCTAATCTTTCTGCCAAAGGGGTCCAGCCTTGAAGAGCCTGTTTGTGACCCCTACAAACTGGAAGACTTTTTGTTGAATTAAATAAGAATCACACAGGAGGGAAAATACTATATGAAATTACGTGGAATCTAAAATACGTCAAAATCAGGGCACCTGGGTATCCCATTTGGCTAAGTGCCAACTTTGGTTCAGTGTATGACCTTGTGGTTTATGAGTTTGAGCCCCGTATTGGGCTCCCACGCTAATGTGTGGGGACTGCGTGGGAGTCTTTCTTTCTATTTTTTAAAAAACGTTTTTTATTATTTGTTTCTGAAAGAGAGACACAGCATGAGTAAGGGAGGGTCAGAGAGAGATGGAGACACAGAATCTGAAACAGCATCCAGGCTCTGAGGTACCTGTCAGCACACAGCCCAATGCGGGGTTCGAACACACGAACCGTGAGATCATGTGTCCTGAGCCAAAGTCGAATGCTTAACCCACTGAGCCACCCAGGCGCCCCTTGCTTGGGATTCTTGCTCTTTCCTCTCTCTGCTCCTCCGCCACTCGTGTTTTCTCTAACAAACCTTCCTTCAACTTGAATCACAGCTGATAAGTACTTGAGACTGGCAGACAATGCCATTGCTCTAGGAATTCCCAAGTGCCTTAATTTAGTGCTTTGTTAGAGGTAGAGTCTCTTTACCTTGACAATAGCCAGACTTTGAAGATACTATTAGTTTTCTTTACCATATGAAAATTGCTTTAGAAACTTCATCTTTCCTCCCCAAATTAAAAGTATATGATCAGTGTTCTCTCAAAATAAATGTGTAGGTCTTCCTGCGCAGAGACTACATGCTTATTAAAAATTGCTTTTTGCCCCATAACATCTCAAAAATACTACTTCATTCTTCCCAGCCCACATCACATCAGTTTCCACTAGAAAATTAAGGGCTCCCTTTCTGTTGTAAGGATATTGACTTCTGAGAGTGGGGATGTTAATCAGACCTCCATCCAGTATGTTTTTAATCGATTCCACATCAGGTCCCAGAAATACCCTTCTATTTGCTTCTTTATATTTTCAGAAAATGAAAAGAAGAATCACATAATCACATGTGTGAGAGCTTTAAAACCCAAAATATAATAGAGTCTTAGATAGGAACTACTCCAGGTAGTTGTCACTGAAAGGAAACTTGACTTGAAGCCAATGAGGGGACCCTAGGGAAGCAGAGATTTACAGAGGGGGAGGGGAGATGATTTCCTTCTGTTCAGAGTTAGGGTGGAACAGCACCTGGGTGCCTCAACTGGTTGAGTTCCTGACTTCTGCTCAGGTTATGATCTCATGGTTTGTGAGTTTGAGCATCGCGTCTGGCTCTGCTGATAGCTCAGGTCCAATTGCCTGCTTCAGATTCTGTGTCTCCCTCTCTCCCCCTCCCCCACAAGTGCTCTGTCTCTCCCTCTCTCTTTCTCTCTCTCTCTCTCTGAAATAAATTTTCTTAACGAAAAAACTGGGCACCTGGATAGCTTATACAGTTAAGCATCTGACTTTGGCTCAGGTCAGGATTTCAAGTTTGTGAGTTTGAGCCACAAGGAGCCTGCTTCATAGTATGTGTCTCCCTCTCTCTGCGCTCCCTCCAACTTGCTTGCATTCTGTCTGTCTCTCTCTCTCTCAAAAGTAACCATTTAAAAAATTTTTTTAATGAAAAATAGAGTTAGGGTGGATATTTAGAGAGGGGCTTGTCATCTTTTTTGTTTGAAAGTTCTGCTTATTTTGAGAGGGAGAGAGAGATTACCTGTGAGCAGAGGAGGGGCAGAGAAAGGCAGAGGAAGAATCCCATCCAGGTTCTCTGCTGTCAACCCAGATCCTTGTCACCTGAGCTCTATCCTGGGAACCCTGAGATTATGACCAGAACTGAAACAAGAGTCAGATGCTGAACTGACTGATCACCCAGGTGCCCTGAGGCCTATTATCTTATGTCAATCTGGACTTAAGGTCACACAAACACCTTAAGAAAACAGTTCTATACATATTTTGTAGGTATGTTATGTAGAAGAGGTTTGTGTTCCTCAGGTGGAGGTTTTAGAATTATGAGGAAGTAAAAATAACTGTTGGCCACTTCATGGCTTTCTCCTTGGGTCATCTGCAGAGGTGTGAGTCAGGGGTTAAGCTCAAGGATCAAGCAGGCTGAAGTTCTTTCTCAGGGAAGTCATTACTTTTCATTCCATACTTTGTTTCCTATCAGAGGACACTGTGCCCATGGGGTGTTTTGCCTGAAGTAAAAATTAAGGTGGAGAGGAGAGGTGAAGTAAAATGAGGGATGAAGGTCCATGGGCACAAGCAGGTAAGCAGTGAATTTCAGCTCTTGAAGTCCAGCTGGTGACATTGACTCCCTCTTTCATCTTAGGTACAATTGTGAACTGCCAGCATCCACTTGATAACTGTATTATTTATTTCTGGGATTGCTGACCTTCAGTGATGTGGCCATAGAATTCTCTCAGGAGGAGTGGGGATGCCTGAGCCACAGTCAGTGGGAACCGTACAGGGATGTGATGTTAGACAACTACGGACACCTCCTCTTCTTGGGTGAGGACAACTCCTTCCAGATTTCCCAAACCACACTCAGAGTTTTGTTCCTTCCTTTGAAGACTGTCTCTTGGAAAATTCCTCTTTGCATGACTGGAATTCAGATCCCTGCAGTAAGTGAAAGAAGTAGAGGTTGGCAGATATAGAGAAAATCTTCCTGATGTTTCCTTCTTAGTTTTAGTTTTCTCTTAGGGTAACATGATCATTTCTGTATATTAATGGAATTCTAAATATTGAGAGGCATAAAATGGTATTTC